AGAGAGAGAGAGAGAGAGAGAGAGAGAGAGAGAGAGAGAGAGAGAGAGAGAGAGAGAGAGAGAGAGAGAGAATGTGACTTGGTTGGGGAAACAGTTTGCTGGTGATGTGTTCTTAATTAATCATTTTTTTCTTCTGATTGATGAATGCAATGCAGTTGCAAACACACAAGATGATTTGAAGAATTTTGCAGCTACAGAGAAAGTATGTGCACTCTCCATCATTCTCCTTCGCTTCTTTGTTACCTTCCTTCTTCTTTTGTTGGAATCTATTCCCAGTTGTTCTGTGTTTTCACTGTTTCAACTTCATTGCTCATTTTATGATTGCAGCAACTGCCTAGTTCATGGATAGGTGTTTCTACATGGGTTAGTGTTTCTACATGAATGGGTGTTTCCACATGGGTTGGCGTTTCTACTGGGGTTCTGGGAAAAGCAACCTTGCGATGAACTCATGAATGGCAGCCAAGCATTTCTCAAGTAGGTCTGGCGGGTGGGGTCACAGATTGCCTCTGGTCAGAACTCAGAACTTGGAAGCAGTCTCACTGAGAGTGCACTGAGAGTTCGCTGAGAGTGCACTGCGCGTTCACTGCAGTTGGCTTGAGAGTTCGCTGCAAGTGTGTGGCAAGTGCCATGCCCCGTGGGACTGCGCTGAGAATTCACTGAGAGTTCACTGCAGGTGGCTTGAGAGTTCGCTGCAAGTGTGTGGCAAGGGCCATGCCCTGTGGGACTGCAAGTTCCCTGAGAGTTCACTGCCGTTGGCTTGAGAGTTCGCTGCAAGTGTGTGGCAAGGGCCACGCCCCGCGGGACTGCGAGTTCACTGAGAGTGCACTGAGAGTTGACTGAGAGTACACTGAGGCTTCACTGACAGTTCACTGAGAGTTCACTGAGAGTTCACTGAGAGTTCACTGAGAGTTCACTGAGAGTTCACTGCAGTTGGCTTGGGAGTTCGCTGCAAGTGTGTGGCAAGGGCCATGCCCCGTGGGACTGCGAGTTCACTGAGAGTTGACTGAGGGTTCACTAAAGTTCACTGAGAGTTCGCTGGTCGAGTTTACGTGAAAGTTCGCTGCAAGTGTGTTGCATAGCTTGTGATCCAAATGGTGTTTTTTTTTTTTTTTTTTTTTAATGTCCCAAATGAATTTAATGAATTCATTGAGGCACCATGGTCTTTAGCCAGTTTTGGATGTCGGAGCATGAGCATCATGTTTCAAATTGATTATCTATTTATTTTTTAACTTTGTAAGTTTGTATCAAATTAAAATAAATACTTTTTAAAAACATTTGTCACTTGTGACGTTTATTATTTTTAATTTATTATAATTAATTAATATATTATCATTTATTTTATTTTATTTTTTTTTCCGCTGCACCCACTTGTTTTGCTCTGCACCGCACATGGCGGCCTACATGCGCAGTGCCCATGTGCCATTGCGAAGATGACCCGCAGGGGGCGGGCTCAGCCCAGGCGCTCACGCGTTGTAATCTGAAATGTGCTCTCTGGGTGTTGGGAACACTGGATCTGGTCTCCAGCAGGTGAAGCTCCCTACCAATAGATTGGAGCAGCCTGCGGCTGCGATGCTGCTGGGGGATGCTCGTATCAACCCCAATACCTGACCGGAGGGGTCTGAAAAAAAAAGGGGGGGAAGAAAAAAGAAAGATGACCTTTCTCACAGATCAGTACATTGGCATTCCGAAATCATAACGACTCTTTCTCACAGCTCCATAGATTGCTATTCTAAATAAAAAAGCAAAAAAACTTTTAAAAAGAAAAGAAAAGATTTATATTCCGAAATCACGAGGGTCTTTACTCTTTGTTTCGTATCATTTACCGTAACTTCTTCTTCTTCTTCTTCTTCTTCGCTAAACGCCCAGGTTGTTGTAGAGGCTGGATTCAGACTTAGAGAAGATACCCAGGACTCAGAGTCATTTTGTCGTCGTAATGACCACTTAGCCACTTAGCCCACCCTATCGATTACCACATAGCCACTTAGCCACGTAGCCACATAGCCACATAGCCACTTAGCCCCTATAGTCATTTCGTCGTCCTAATGCCCACTTAGCCACTTAGACCACCCCTATAGATTACCGCATGGCCACACAGCCACATAGCCACTTAGCCACTTAGCCACTATATAGTCATTTTGTTGTCCTAATTGCCACTTAGCCACATAGATGTCTGAGGTAATCTATAGGGGGCTGGGCTAAGTGGCTAAGTCCGATCGCAAGTTGTGTCCCTCTTCATCTTTTTTTTTTTTTTTTTTTTTTTTTAGGAAAAAACTTCTTCTTCTTCTTCTTCTTCTTCTTCGTGATTTTTTTCTCCTTCTTCTTCTTCTTCTTCTTCTCTCTTTTTTTTTTTTTTTTTTTTTTTTTTAGGGACAAAAGCTCCAATCTATTCGTGGGGAGCATCACGTGCTGAGAACCGGGCTCAGCGTCCCTTTGAAATACAACTGAGAATGTGTAATAATTTACTAATTTGAATTTCAGAAAACGGTCAGAACCCCACCCCTCCCTCGTCCCCCCGCCCCCCCCAAAAAAAAACCAGAAAACCCAAGGATGGCTGAACACAGTCAAGCGGCTACATGGCCTATTTCCTTATCCTCCTATACTTGTTTTGGATTGCCCTCTACTTGTTTTGGATTGCAGTGAGGCACGTTATGATGCAAAATCTGTGCAGTTTGTCATGCAGCAGTAAATACGTCCACGTCTGTGTTTTTTTGTGTACATCTGTCTCTATGTGTATATATACTGACTTCTGTGTATATACTACATCTACGTATGGATGGATGTACACATGAATGTGTGTACACTATACACGCATAAATGTATGTGTATACTACTATACACCCATAAATGTATGCACTGTACACACAAAAATGTGTATACCATCTTTTTTTTTTCTGCAGGTAGTGAGCTATGCAGGGTGTAGCCTCCCTCCGTTGTTGTCAGATCATCGACGTCAAGGACGGCGGTGGCGTTCTACCGTTCAGCTTCGAGCGGCTGCCGAAGGAGAAGAACGTGAGACGAACGGAAGAGGGTCTGCCTCGACTGGTGGTCCCGCATCCGATGCATCCGACATTGAATTGCTGGAAGCGCGGCTTCAGTTGGGAAGGCGTGCGAGGCGGCGAGGGAAGAAGGGAGGAAAAGGAGGTGGTTCTGAAAAGAACATTGGTCGCGCCAATAGTGTGAAACCAGTGGGTGAGGAGACGGCAGACGATGACACATTCGCAAAGGTAAGGGATTTTTTGTGGGGTGAGAAAGGGGTCTTGTACTGGTTGAACAGGCTCTCTTATATTGCCATTTTTGTGGTAATTGGAGGATGGATTTTCTTCAGATTCATTGGGCCTCAGCTGGGGCTTTACGAACTACAAGATGACTTGCTCTCCCCATCCTAACAAATTTTGCCCAAAAGACACGGCCTTGTTGTCTTAGTCCTTTTGTCTTTTCTTTCTTCTTCTTGTTTTTTTTTTTTTTTTTTTTTCAGTGCACGTTTGTTCATTGAGTGTTGTCTATAGTGTGTGCATAGTTGAGTTCCTTTGCGTTTCACTACTTTTCAGTTT